ATGACGGTAAATAGTATAGACGTACTAAATTTAAGCTTAAACTGCCAAGAAAGGGAGATAAACTTTGAATAAGCTCTTGGAAAGTGGGATTTGGGTGTAAAATATAAAATATGTGAGACTATTTTTAAATTTAAAAAATGTGCTCAAAATTATGTGACTATATGCTCTTGCTTTTCATTTATATTAAAACGCAAAGCATTTGTTCTTGCCATGTGATTTTTTTTCTCATTTTTTCTTTTGTGACTATATGCTCTTGCTTTTCATTTACATTAAAACGCAAATCATTTGTTCTAGCCATGTGATTTTTTTTTTCTCATTTTTTCTTTTGTGACTATATGCTCTTGCTTTTCATTTACATTAAAATGCAAATCATTTGTTCTTGCCATGTGATATTTTTTTTTGTCGTTTTTTTTGTACATGAAGAAGGTTTTTTTTGTAGATGAAGAAGGATAAGTACATTTTATGCCGTATTGTATTTTTTAGAAGAAAGAGAAGCCACCAAAGGAAAGGAACCTCAAGATGAGACTGAGTAGGTGGAGAATGAGAACCCCAACCTTTGAGCAACCACAGTTATTCAAGGAAGAGGAGTTATCGGAATCAACCCGGTCGAGGACGAAGCAACAAAGTCAAGTCCCACGGAAGCTTCGACGGCCTTGAAGAAAGAAGTATAGCAGTGCTCAACCCCCTCAGTCCCATCCATTCTATCAGACCAAATGCGTACCACCACGCCACATTGTGAGCATGCGTGACCTGCATTGCCTTCGTTGAAAGGACTCGAAGAGATATTCAGAGTTCTGCAGCATGTATTCGAAAACTCACTCCCAACAAATCAACCTCCTCAGCCAAAATTATCAGAAAATACTAACCCCATCATGTTAGCAGACACTCTCGCATCTTTCAACCCGAACATGCATATTATGGCATGTTCTGCGCCCTCCATGGCCCCATCTCCTTGGGCGCCAAACATGGTTATGGCCCTCCAGTACCAAGTGGCCAGAATCTGGTCGTGTCGCTCATGCCATTCCGGACCAGTGCCTCACAACTCCACTCACTACCAAGTGGCCAGAATCCCCAACTCGCTCATACTATCCTCACAACTCCACTCTGCCAGTTAACACATGCCATCAAGTTAATACCACGAATTCAGCTTACGAACAAGGCATAATAATGCCCCTACAAAGGAAGGGGAAGGGGAAGGGGAAGGGGAAATAGATTTAAGCTTATTCATATCATAGATCCGTCGGACCAGCCGGGCTTTTGATATTTTTGTTGGTTCGATCCAAAACAAAAATAACTTTCGATAGAAAATCGATCAAAACTTCTTGTTTGTCAGACCAACCAACTTGATCGGTTCAAATAGTATAACATTTTATTCATAATATTTAATATTATTTATATATTTTTTAAATATGCCCCAACCAATTTGATGATGGTTCTTGGACAGGTTTTAACGGGAACAAACCCTTATTTGATTATTTGAAAACATTAATCCATATTTTGGGAGTATTTCTTTTGCATTTTGAAAATATTTCGAACTAGTTGAGTATTTTTACATGGGCCCGAAATATATAACTCTAACGAATTTTGAGGGGATTTATTTTCCATGGTATAAATGAGGACTATTCAAACACTTCCATAGATGTTATTGTCCAATTCTATTATGCATTTATCTTAAAAAATATATATCGAGTACATTAAATAAAATACTCAGATGTATGAGTAGCTTAATATAATCCCTAATTATTATCTCCACGTTCTCTCTCTCCTCTCAAAATCAAAATCTCTCTCAAAAAGGGGCTAAGGTCGTCATGATAGCATCCCCACACCCAGTTACCACATCGTGATATCCATTCTTACTGACATCCCCAATTAATACCTTTAAAATGTAACTCCCTAATCTATTGAAAAAACGAGTAAAAACATGTATTTCCACTAAATTACCCAAAAAATAACCTCTCTCTAATATTCACTCTCTCAAAGTGACCGTAAACTTATGCCAATTTGTTCTTTTAAAATCATAGTAAATTCTATCATCGTGAATTCCCTCTCTCTTCACTCTCTCTCTCACAATCCCAATAGCAATATTAATATTTAAAGGGTATGGTTTCTATAAGATCACGACTTTAAACAATCCAATTAAAGCGTACCTTCAAATTTTATTGTAATTATGGTGCAAAACATGCTTAGGATTATCCCAAAATCTATTTTTATATCTAATTATGAAATTTTAAACTCAAAAAATGGATAAAATCATGTAGACCTATAAAAACGAAAATCTTAAAAATAGACCGTCTAGATAACATGTTTCAAAATGCACCACTTCTAGGGCGCAAAATCATTTTCTTTTTTCATGTTCATACATCTTTACATGGTTTTTCAACATTAAAACAACTTTTTATGATGGATTTTTGAGATGCATATGGACTTCTACATTTTAAAGTTACAACCTTATATAAACTTTTTCCATATTTAAAAGGTGTGATTTGCGTAAAGTTGCAACCTTAAACAATTCACCTCTAAATTTTATCATAAATGTAATTTTAATATAAAAAATTGTTAGGATGGCTTGAAAACTTATTTTCATATCTAATTATAAAATTTTAGACTCTAAAAATAATTCAAATCAAGTAAATCTATGAACACATGAAAATCTTGAAAATGAACGGTCCAAATAATGTATTGCAAGATCTTTTTTTCTTTTCATATTCATACATCTCGATGTCAAGATATCAATTAGAAGGTTTTTCCAATATCCAAACAGCTAATTTTTGAAATGCATCTTTAATTCTACATTTTAAGGTTGCAACCTCGTTATAAACTTTTTCCATGTTTAAAACCTAACTTTTCTCACAATAATAAAAATATATTCTCTGTTAGAAAGTTGACAAAGGAGGGTCCTCTCTCCCAATAGCAACATTTAAAACCCAATTTTTCTCACAATATTGAAAAATATATTCTGTTGGGAAGTTAACAAAAGGAGCCTAGCCTCTCGGTTCTATATAACCTAGGCCTAATGTTAAGATGTATCTTGAATTCTTTATTCCATACTACTTTTTTTAAAAAAAGAGGCCTAGGGGTCCATATCACAAACCAATCTCTTAAAAAGCAAAGGAACATACCTGGAACTTGCACATTTAAATAGATGAAAAAATCCTTCCAAAAAGGTAAAACAAAAAGAAAAGACAAGAAAGAGAATTCCATGGACTGAAGATAATCTGATTGATGGGGAACCATTTTGAAAAACAATACTACAGTAAAGGGGAAAAAAAACGAAGATAAGCCCAAACATATTTCTTTGAATAGAGAGAGAGATTAACTAACGGGTCTTCTTTCGAAGACATGCCCCCACCTGTTTTTTCATATACATTAGCCAGTTAGATTTTTTTGAAGGTGCTAGAGGGTAGTGTCAACAGGATTGGAAACCACAACATGGTAACTAGGTAGGGAGGTGCTACCACCATGACCCAGCCCGTTCCTAACTAACGGGTCTTCTTTACGCGTTTGGGGGGCCTTCCTGTGTCCTTAATCCTGGTTTCTTCATGAGTTTTGCTTTCAGCTCTTGGCTGCAATGATCATTTGCAAAAATCTCCATTACTTCCTAATTGTCGAATCAAGGTGAATATTCTTTTAAACTGCAACACTGGGCATGCATGGATGATGCATTGTCATTTATACACAGCTAGACATGTCCAGAGTTAGTGGAACACAGTGTTTCTACAAAGTACAAATAATTATTGCAACAACTGGTACAAAAGTCCTATATTCGAGAATATAATGTTAGAGAGAGATGAAGAAGACAAAACATGGAACATATGATAAATTGGGAGAGAGAAAGAGAAGAAAGAGAGAGAGAGAGAGAGAGAGAGAGAGAGCTGGGATGCATATCTATTAACAATAATGTACGCTCCAAAAAATAGAGACTTCTTTAGCCTCTGAATCTCTTATATGTGCTCATGGGTTGGGAACGACTTAGAAAACTCAACACAATCCAAAATCTAAGTTTACGTTATTTGAAAGAAACCAGAACACTCCTTGAAGTGGCGCTTGTGCAATCAAACCCACCCATTTCCACGAGACCCTAGAACTTGATTGAATTAGGCCTTCCCCTCTCTAACCAGAGTTGATTTAGTTATACATAAAACAAGAGGAGTTCCCGAATCAATATCCCCCTGTCAAGACCTCATCAACAAGACCCTCATACCTAAATCCATAAACAGCTATGAAGACCTACCCTATCCCAAAGGTTCCTTCCAAGACATGGGGACTAAAAAGGTCAAAATTGTTTTTTTTTTCTTTGCCCTCCTCTCAGAAAATCAAACAATCAAACTTCCTTGTGCTAAAAACAATTCTAGCCCTAGGATCATATGGCACAACCTAAGAGTCTAACCACAGTAGCCCTTCACTGTAGATCAAGTCCATTCATGAACTTATCCACCATAACGCAAAAGTAAATCAACCTCCAAAACTTGTTAAGACTGGAATTTGTTTCCAACCTTGAGGAACTAGATCCTATTCATATTTATCTCACTAAACTCCTCGAAGTTAGAAACTGATGTCCTCCAATGTCATCTTGTTGTGCTTGTCAAGATCTTTCAATGAGACCTACCTCACAGGTAAGCTTTTAGACTTCCAAGAACTCAAGAGGAGACTGCATTGTGACCAAGGCCATGGCCTCAGAGGACATAGCTTAAGAGATAATCAAATGACCATAGGGAGAAGAAACTATAAGTGTCCTCAATGCATATAGCCTACCCTTATTGCCAAAGTTACCATTTATGATTTTCCACATGCCAGTTCTGATGATTTAAAAGACCAAAAGATCATAACTCTCAATGAGGCAAGCCTCAATCAGATTCCTGACCAGTTGGTCCCATGCATGTGTTCCATAAATTGTTACTTGTGTTTCCCACTCAAGAATGATGCCCTAATTGCCATGGATAGAAACAAGAAGTGAAAATCCATAGGCTCATAAAATCTCACAGTTAGGTTCTTATTCTAAAGAACAAGAGATGAACAAAGAGAGGCTCAAATTACGGGTGCACATGGTAAGATTACAAACTTGCACCAACTTCGACAAGCCCGCACCAAACATGCTCCAACATGAGAACCACATAGGGATCAATCAGACAACTTGCATTGTCCTCAAGTAGCTGACCTACATCAGTGTCAACTCATTGCTTCTACATGTCAACTGTCATCAGCCTTAAGTCAACGGATCTGTGTCAGCCTCAACTTGCAATCCCTATCTCCTCTGATCACCTAACTTGAACTGATCATATTAGCTTCAAATCGATAAAAGGCATCGATCTCAAAAGCTCATTTGCATGGGCCCCAACTGACTGACCCATACCAGCATCAAATAGCCAACAGGCATCAACCTTAACAAAAGTCACCAACATCTCAAGATGCATGAGTTTCGTTACTTCAATACACAAATAAAGACTACCCTCATCATCATCATTATCATCATCACCGGAGCCTTACCCCGACTATTTGGGATCGGTACAAATCCCGTTCCGCCATTCTACTCTATCGAGAGCCATACCCTCAGTCATACTACCCTATTAAATGAAAAGTTGATCTATACTACAAATTGTTGATCATGTCACAGAACAGGTATGTACTCTGTATATATCACTCAAGAGCACATTGCTCATTCATGGAGATCTCCCAACCTAGGATTCACCATATTCTCCTAATTTATAAATTTCAAAAGGGAAGCTAGAAGCTCAAATTTCTATATAAACAACTCGCAATTGCAGCTCATCAACATGTAAAGCAATTGGATGACCAGGTACTTTATGTCCACCTAGAGGAAATTTGCCTTCATGTCTTCATTCCCCCACGCCCATTCGCTAAGGGATAGGTTACACCCACTTAGATTTCCATTTGAGATATCTGTAGATCAACTCAACAAACACACATTGGGGAAGGGAGGAACATGAGAGACATTGGACCAGAGAAATTGGAACTTATGATGGAACCAAAATGGAACTAGAGATTTTTAGGTTTCTTATCCTCTGGATCTTGTGTAGTTGGTCCAAGGTCTATGGAAACATATCACATAGCCCTTCAATCTTCACTAATTTGATATCGTCCTTTGAATGATGCATCCTAGTAATCTAAAGTTTGAAGCTCAATTAAAGGTTAAAAATCACCTATCTGCAGTGCATCGTCCATTGCTGGCCAATGAAGATGCCCAAAAAAGTTAAAGACCCTAACCAACTCAATGTCTTCCAATGATGAAAAAGTCGGCCGCCTGGCCTGGTTGCCTAGGTGGCCTGGCAGACAAACCACCAAGGCATAGCCTAGGCGGCAGGGCCTAGGCATCCGTGACCAAGGGCAGAAATAAGCCCTCAGCCAAGGTTTTTTTTTGCTCAGTGGAAAACTCTCTAAAAACAAAGATTTCAAGTTCTTTCAAAAGCTCAAAAAAAATTCAAAATTTTTTTATTCCTTGCAAAATTGAAAGATATTCTTCTCGATTCTTTTTGGACCTTGGAATGGTTGCAAAAGAGGACTTTTTGGCAACCAAACGTCATCGATTTGGTTTCCGTTTTGAGAAGGTTACCAATACATCATGTATTTTGTGTGTAAATTGTATTATGATTTGTTATTCCTTCTTTTTTGGTTATTTTTATAATATATTTTTGATAGTTTCTATTCAGATTATTCTCCCATTGTGATTTTTGGTTTAGGAAAGCAATTCAATGGAAAAAGTCCAATGCCCCCAAACCAAATGAATATATATATATGAGTAGTGATCCTAAAGGACCCTCCCCCACCCATGTGTGTAGGACCCTAAAGCATCACCATTAAATTTGGTATGGATCCCTAGAAAAGTTATCATATGGGTGTAGGACTTGACTTTTTTAGAGATCCATGCCAAGTTTAATGGTGATCCTTTGGGGTCCTACACACATGGGTGGGAGAGGGTCCTATATGATAGAATCATCTCTCTCTATATATATATATATATATATATATATATATAT